CCAAAACTGAAGCCAAGACAATTTATCGGCCCCTGGTGGCTGGCTGCAGTAAAGGTCTTAAATCCGATCTCTCCCATATCAGTATGCATTGGCTATACCATAAACTGTGTATCAAGATGGATGTTTATCCCTACTTCCTCCCACCATCCAGAGATGAAACCAAATATCCTGGATACAAACACTGCCATCTTGCGGCAATGATGTATTTTGGAGCTAGAGTCTGAGCAATAGTGATCAGGGGATGAAGCCATAGTATTGAGGTCCCATCGATACATGAACTTTATAAAATGCAAATTGTTCTCTCAGGCATGATGTTTAACCATGTGTTTATATCATCAAATAACTAATTAAAACACAACTTCTCAGAAACATGAACACTCGAACAAACATCTTTGTGATATGAAGTCCCTAAAATGACAAAAATGATTTAACATGAATTTAGATTTTTTATCTACTAACAGGCGAGGTGTTTATGACCTTACTGCAGCCGGCCGATAGGGGGTGATTAAGGGGATTCGGCTTCACGGGCTGTTACTCATCTTTATATCCATCTAAATCTTCAAAGAGATCTGCGGACATTTATTATTTCTCGTTTTAATGTAGACTAAATTATTTTCTCCCTGTCAAGATACTGTAGATGGATAGGATTTGCTCTTTTATGTCAAAGTTACAGGCTAACAGTTCAGCATATGTTACCATGACGATAAGTGAGCCAGCTTTGCAGGACTGAACAGGACGAAGTTAGATTAGTTTGGCTACACTATACAAGCTCTCTCTCTCCCTCCTGGCCTCCACCCCATTTTAATTTTGTTCTATTTTGTCTTTACGTAGATGTCAATTTCCGTTTTCTATAATCGTGTTGAAACCCATGTGTGGTCTCCTTTGTGTAGCCATACACTGGATGTGGCACTGCTCTCCTGTGGCAACCTGTTGACCTAAATACGTTTGTAGATATAATACTAGATCCACACACTCAAGGGTCCTTGAGTGAAAAAGGAATGCATCAATCTAATGACGTTAGTGTTATAGCTTTGATGTGTGTGTGTGTGTGTGTGTGTGAGCGGCTAAGTGTGTGTTTGTGTGATGAGAGCAGAGAGTGTGTATAAACTTGCACAACTTTGGTGGTTGTCCTTTAATATTTCTCTCAGCCACAATTGTGTCAGTAAGACTCTGCAAAGCACTCAGTGTTTTATTGCGGAGAGAAATTTGAACTTAGTCACATCCATACTCATAGGCATTGTAGAATTTAGTGACATCTAGTGGTGAAGTTGCATGTTGCACCGTATTTCTGTGAGCTTTCCCTTAACGTTGAATGTAATAACTTTATATAAAGATGGATGACTTGTCTCCATATCATTAAACTGTACATTGGCTGCCATCTTGTGCTGGTGAAATCATATGAAGTCAGCGTAGTAATGATCGTGAAGTGGAGCTGCGGTATCCACACACACACACACACACACACACACACACACACACACACACACACACACACACACACACACACACACACACACACACACACACACACACACACACACACACACACACATTCGACTAAACACAATGCAGTGTCACAGCTGTCAAGCTGTTTAAATAATCAAAATCAGATCAGAAACATGAACATGAAGATAATCGGTGTTATCATAACTACGTAAAATGACAGAAACCATCTTTGAGAAAAATGTATTTACTTTGTACTTGATTTTTTATTTTATTCGGTCCACATCCCATCTCCTAGCCAGGGAGGAGGCAGGGTATATGACATATAATGCAGCCAGCCACCCGGGGATGATTTAAATTAAATGATTTTGCTTCAGTTTATGGGAGCTATAGTCCATCAGACTGTTATTAATTAAAAAAAGGAAAATGACTTGTTTTGTAAAAAACGTGTGGAGAAAAAAAATCCATATTGTGACATGTCTGCCCAGGAGGGAGGATTTAAACAGCTGGAGACAGCTGGTAATTCACTTGAAGACACATTTAAAAGCATCATTTAGAGTATGGTAAAATGTTGCTGAATAGAAATCCACATATCTCTCTCTTCAAAATCAAGCATAGATTTTTAAATATCATTTTAAACTCTGCAGTGTTGTAACACAAGACACAAAAATGAAAAAAACTAAAACATAACAAATCTCTCCGGTTGAAAAGCAGCAGTAGTCAGTGGCTGGAGCCATTATGTTTTGGGGTTGTCCATCTGTCCATCCTTTTGTTGTTGTTGTTGTTGTTGTTGTTGTGTACATGATATCTCACCTTGAGGAACTATCCTTAACATTCAGTTGGACAAAGAGATCCACAGAATAGAGTTTGATGGTCGAAGGTGAAGGTCACTGGGACCTCCAAACAGGTTTTTGGCCTCCTCAACATTATATCTCAAGTTTGTCTTCAGGGATTTCCTTTAGATCTGACCAGTTATCACTTGGATCCAACTATTAACTGCTTCATTTTCAGTGGTCCGAATTCATGGTGACCCCATATGAGTCTGGGAAGATGAAATGTATATAGAGTGAAACTGCACTGGTTGACAGATGTGTACGATTCTAGTTCTTATAGAGGCTGGAACCAGAACACACCACCAGACACTGCATATCTAATCTGGCCTGAGAACACCTTGGGGGTCCCATTTATACACGAATGCTGTCACCTCTGAGCAACAGTACCCAGCTGGAAATAATTTCAAAGGTGTTGAATCTGACAACACCCACAGTTAATGTGCTGCTGCTGTGCATGACTCTCAACAGCTGTCGGGTCCCACTTTGGAGGCAATGACGTTGGCTTTGACTGATGTAAGGATCAGTGATAGATGTGCAGAACACATATGAAGAGTCTTAGTGGGATAGTTCACAGAAAAATGAAAATACACTCATTATCTACTCACCACTATACTGATGGAGGGGTTGGTGTTTGAGTCCACAAAACACTTTTGTCTCAGGGGTAAGTAGCGTTGCAGCCATATCCAAGGCAATTGAAGTAAAATGGTGGCAGATTCTTTAAACGGAAAAAACCCAACATGCCTCCATACTGCTCCTGTGGTGTCATCCAAGTGTCATTCAAACTCAACTCGAAATAGCATCATTTACATCATGTTGTTTGTGTCGTCTGATAGCCTTCATCTGGAGCCGCGTTCACACGCACACACTGCACAAAAGCTCTTGCCCAAGGGTACATCAGAAATTGAGGCTTAAAACATGATGTATATGTTGGTGTTTAAGTCAAATTTGAAGAAAGATGGAGATGAAAAAAACCACATCTGGGTTGGTTTCAGTAAAGTACTATTTGTTTTTGCTATCTGTATCTCGTCATTATTGTCTCTTTGCTCGTGCTTTGGGGTCATTTGTGACTCTTTGCCGTCTGTTTCACAAGATGATTTCTATGAATCAAATTAAAAACAATTACAAGTAGCATATTCAAGCAATCGTCGTTACAGAAATATGAGGAATAGTATTTCAATCGACACCAACAGTTGTGATAGGGTTTTTTTTTGTGTGCAAATTACCTCAAATCTATTGTTCTTTGGGATAATTAGGGCCTCAAGTTTTATACAACTATTTTAGGGTT